TTCAAATCAATAAAAATTGAGATCTTTAAATTCAATTATGGTTTGTATGACTATATCGAATTTATCACGAAAAAGGCTACGTATATGGTTTTTGTGATTTTGATTTAAAATTCAAATAATTGAATTGATGTGAAATTAGCAGTTTTAGCTTTTAAAAATTTTATGTTTTTTCTTTTTTTTTGTAACCTAATTGAGAATTCGAATATTTATATATCATCATATATAAACAAAAAGTTCAAGATTTTCCTTTTGTTCACTATTCTATTTTTTTATATAATTTTTTAAAATTTCTTTCCATGGTTGAAAACTTAGCTTATTTTAATTTCTTCATTTTATAGCCGGTTGAAAGAAGAATATTGTGACATTTCATTATTGTTTGAGTTGTTTACTTGGTTTTATTTTTTCTTTTTCATTTTTCTTAACTCAGTTTTATTTTGTTTATTTTTGTAGAAATTTAAGTGTGGGCAATTTCAAGGATTTAAATATGTTTTATGCAAGGATTTAACTATTATATTTTAATATATTTTTTAATATATATACTCCAATTAGATAAATCTCTAAAAAATTAAAATTAAGCATTTAAATCATTTTTAAGTAACTACAAGACTTTATATCTAATAATAATTTTCAGTCCACTTTGTCTTCTAAAAAATGAATTTTATAATTTACTTAATATATATCTTACATTTGAAATGAAAAATTATTAATTATTATACAAAATGGCGAAGCACGAAGGACCGCGTAGTTATATATATATATATATATTATATATATATTAATATATATATTTATATATATATATATATATATTAAATAATTATTTTTTCCTTAGAAGTAGCATTGCGACATTTATTTTCTCTTTATAGTTATAGGCTTCCAACTTGGCACTCTAAGTCTACACTTAGCGTTCCATCTCCTTTATTTAATCCTCCTTTATTTATTGTCATGTAAGTTACACTCTATTTCTTCTCTTATATTAGAGAAAATAATAAAAACTCTAGGATTAAGAAAGTAGTTAAACAAAAATCTTTGCCCATATTTTGCAATATAATACTCTTAATCAGCTTTAAATACATAATAAACAGTGAGGAAGCCAACTCATTACTAGATTATTTCAAAGGCGTATTTATTAGTCAAAATCTTTAAGGATTGCTTTATTAGTCAAAATCTTTAAGGATTGCAAAAGTTTCATCAACTTCAAATTTAATAGAAATATTGTTTTCAAAAATAGCGCACTAATAAACAGAAAGTTGTCCTCAGACATGACGAATTTAGTTTCTTCATACGCTAAGTCCAGGAAGAAGGGCATTGAGTTTGTTTGTTACGACGAAAATCTGTGCCAATATTAGTAAGGCGTAGTGTGGATTTAAAACCAAATTTTAAATGTAGGATACAATAATACAAATATGTGACCGTATTATGGAAACTTTCCAAGAAAAATAGTCATATTTATGTCCACATATATAAAGTTGAGCACACTTCTAGATAAACATAATCCCCGAAAGAATTTCAATTCAATTTGTTCGATAAATTTTAAATTTGTGCTTAGATTAATGAGGTGTAACATTGATATAAAGACTTTTTTTTTTTTTATAAGTAGAGTGCAATAATTAAAATGTGTGGCCATATTAGGATACTTGGTCAATACAATACTTTTATTCGTGATCAAATTTATAAAGTTGAGCACATTTTTACTTACATGCTCATAGACGTAGCAATTATTCATGCTTTGGAAACATAAGCTCATTAATTGTCCAACTTACATTTTATTAAAATATCTAAATCTTTAAAATATCTAAATCTTTAAATTTTTATAATTTACAAAAATAATAATTTTTATTTTTATGTATTCTAAACTTCAAATCAAATATAGTATGTTTAAAATTTTTATAATTTGAAAAATATTAAAAAAAACCATATGTTTCAAAAATACACATTACTTTTGGTCCGTTTGGTAATGATTTTTAGTTTTTAAGTATATTACTAGGTACAAATTTATTGATTTTTAATTTTTGAGTAAATTATTAAATACAAATTTTATTTTTCTTCCCATGATCATGATAAATAACCTATCAACGTTCGAGAATAGTCTCATATAGTTTAAACACGATAAGATAAAATGGTGAGTAATATTCTTCTTTTTTTTTTCTCTTTTGATTTGTTTGATTATGATTTTTAGTTTTGAGTAAATTATAAGAGGATACAAGTTTAGTTTTTCTTCTCATGATAAGTTAAATATTTTCAAATCAATAAAAATTGAGATCTTTAAATTCAATTATGGTTTGTATGACTATATCGAATAAAAATTGAGATCTTTAAATTCAATTATGGTTTGTATGACTATATCGAATTTATCATGAAAAAGGCTACGTATATGGTTTTTGTGATTTTGATTTAAAATTCAAATAATTGGGTTGATGTGAAATTAGTAGTTTTAAATTTTAAAAATTTTATTTTTTTCTTTTTTTTTTGTTTGCTAATTGAGAATTCGAATATTTATACATCATCATATATAAACAAAAAGTTCAAGATTTTCCTTTAGTTCACCATTCCATTTTTTTTTATATAATTTTTAAAAATTTCTTTCCATGGTTGAAAACTTAGCTTAATTTTTATTTTAATTTCTTCATTTTATTGCCGGTTGAAAGAAGAATATTGTGGCATTTTATTATTGTTTGAGTTGTTTACTTGGTTTTATTTTTTCATTTTCATTTTGCTTAACTTAGTTTTATTTTGTTTATTTTTGTAGAAATTTAAGTGTGGGCAATTTCAAGGATTTAAATATGTTTTATGTAACGATGAAATAACTATTATATTTTAATATATTTTTTAATTATATACTCCAATTAGATAAATCTGTAAAAAAATAAAAATTAAGCATTTAAATCATTTTAAGTACTTACAAGACTTTATATCTAATAATAATTTCAGTCACTTTTCTCTAAAAAATGAATTTTTATAATTTACTCAACATATATGTTACATTTGAAATGAAAAATATAATTATTACACATCCATGCAAAGCACGAAGGACCATGTAGTTATATATATATACATATGTCAAATATATTTTTTCCTAAGAAGTAGCATGAGACATATTCTCTTTATAGGCTTCCACTTGGCACTCTAAGTCTACACTTAGCGTTTCATCCTCCTTTATTTATTGTCATGTAAGTTATACTCTATTTGTTCTCTTATATCAGAGAAAATAATAAAAACTCTAGCATTATAAAAGTAGTTAAACAAAAATCTTTGCTCATATTTTGCAATATAATACTTTTAATCAGCTTTAAATACATAATTAACGTTGAGGAAGCCAACTCATTATTAGAGTATTTCAAATTTATTAATTAGTCAAAATCTTTGAGGATTGCAAGAGTTTCAGTCAAAATCTTTAAGGATTGCAAGAGTTTCATCAACTTCAAATTTAATGGAAACATTGTTTTCAAAAATAGGGCACTAATATGCAGAAAGTTGTCCTCAGATATGACGAATTTGATTTCTTCATACGCTAAGTCCAGGAAGAAAGGCATCGAGTTTGTTTACTATGACGAAAATTTGTCCAATATTAGTAAAGTGTAGTGTCGATTTAAAACCAATTTTTAAAGGTAGGATACAATAATACAAATTTGTAACCGTATTATGGAAACTTTCCAAGAAAAATAGTCATATTCATGTCCACATATGTAAAGTTGAGCATACTTCTATATAACGCAGATACACATAATCCACGAAAGAATTTCAATTCAGTTTGTTCGATAAATTTTAAATTTGCGCCTAGATTAATGAGGTGTAACATCAATATAAAGACTTTTTTTTATAAGTAGGGTGCAATAATTAAAATGTGTGGCCATATTAGGATACTTGGTCAGTACAATACTTTTATTCGTGATCGAATTTGTAAAGTTGGGCATATTTTTACTTAACTGCTCATAGACGTAGCAATTATTCATGCTTTGGAAACATAAGCTCATTAATTGTCCAACCTACATTTTATTTGCCACTATTCTCGTTAATTGAACCAAAATAAAGGTAGTAACAAAAATTATTGAAAAGCATTTTAGACTTTCTCTTTTGCATACTTCCAAAAATTTTCATTTAGATTAAAATTCTCTATATAAAATAAACAGCTAAATGGAAATTTTCTCTAAAGTAAGAAAACTAAAGCAGTAACTATTATATTCAATTAATTCTCATTAAAATATTTTTAATATTTTAATTATTGATTGTCAGTTATTATTTTTATCATGATGTTCTTATTGTTTAAAATAAAAATTTTAATATCATAAATTTGAATATTACAAGTTCCAAAACTATTTATTTATAAATAAATTATATGAACATTAAAAAATAATTCTAATAAAAAGTGAAATATTAAAATTTTATTAAATATTTAATATTAAAATTTATTAAAATTGCCGCATAGCATAAGCATGTATCTCGCATAATATAAAAGAGAAACTTTAATCCCTTTGATTTGATTTCACAAACGATAGGCTTGAAGTGGAAGAGTCAAATATTACACATTTTGATCTTACAATTAACAATTAAAAAGGTTAGTTTGACTCACGAATATTATATTATACATAATACGTAACAATTAAATTTTTATGTTAAAATTTAACTGAATTATAGAAGTAATTACTCATTCATGTCAATTTATACAATTAAATAAAAATATCAAAATATTAATTATTCACTATAGTGAGAACCAAAACCATAAAAGCTTTTTTTTTTCTTTCTTTCTTTCTTTCTTTTTCTTTATTATGTTGATTGTTACTTCAAGTAAAGGTAAAAATGGTCAATGAAAATTTTTCAACAAGGAAATGCAGAATACCAAGAAAAGAGAAAGAAATAAGAGAAATTGGAAAGAGAGCTGCAAAGCCTATGTTTGGTTAACAAGAAGCTTTTTATAATTTGGAGAGAGAGCTGCAAAGCCTATGTTTGGTTAACAAGAAGCTTTTTATAATTTGGAGATCAGATTTTTTTTTTATTATTATTGCAAAGTTGGACTACGTTTATTTATAAATAAATAGTGACTATCTGTTTACATTGCAAGAATAGCAAAACACAAATACTAAACCCTACAATTTCAGAAATTACAATAAAGCAGTAAAGAAAGGGGAATTTTAAAAAAATAATAGGCTGGCCTTGAGCTTGTAAATTTGCAATCCAATCATTCTCATAGGGGAAAATTGATCACAGTCTTCAGGAAAGCTATAAATATAGAAAGAAACAATGTATTACAGCCACATAGTTGCCTTTCAAAGGGCCATGTTGTCTGGCTCGATACTTGCCTCGTTCAAGGGCTCTTGTAGCATTGGGTTGATAGGAAACAGACCACACTGTGCATGATGTGCCATCAACTGGTCCACGAGAACCAGAGCAACCATGGCTTCTACCATAGGTACCGCTGCACTCTACCATAGGTACCGCTGCACCATCACAAACAACAATGCACACTCTTAGACCAAAAAAATCTCTCTTTTGCACTTCCAAAGAAGATGTGATTAGTGTTGGTTTTGTTCATCCAAATTTTGTTTACGAGAGATTATCATAGGCCAACCGAAATTCCAAGAGGCTTTCCAATTATTTATTAGCTTGAAAAGGAGATAATGGTTTAAAAGTATTGATTGATAGTTGGACATACAGATGAAAAACAGAATTTGGAGAGAAAAAAATTAACGAAAAACGTTATAATTATTATTGAATGTTCTGCATTTGTTTTCTTGACATTATACAGAAGCAATTGTCTATTTAAACTAATATTCTGCTAGGAAGTAAGTTATTCTGGGACTCCTATTACAACACATATTCTTTAATTATTAAACCTTATCACTCCTAGAAATCAGCCTTATCCCTCCATTATTTACTCAAATCGGCTGCCTTGGGGATTTCTAGAATAATCTACGTTATCGCTCCTTAATATTCTATTACATACCTCGTGGGACAACACAAGGATCATGGCGACCGCAAGCAATTAGTTCTATCTCCATTCTATCTCTTGTCACTGTATTTTGCTTCTTCTGCACATACAACACCCCCAAAGTTATCAAACTATGCACAAACATTTGAAAATCAGACCCACGCACAACAAAATTAAGCCCAAAATTTTGTCCAGAAGCTAAATAAACCTTTAAGAATAAGATCAATAAAACCTGCACTGCTGTTTTACACCTATACACAGCATATATAGATGCCATGACAGTTATTGCAGGGACTATCTTTAGAAAGAGAGTAGCGCAAAAGATAGGACTTAATAAGTTGAGCAAAAAAGAACAGAAATGAAAAGAAAAGAAAAGATCCCCGCGTCATTTACACAGGACAAGCAATGCTCCTGCAAATAACATATGTATCCGTTCATGAATCATTTGTGTGTACATAACCACAAACAGAGGGGGGGAACTTACTGATATTGTAGCTGTTGGCTTGAAAGCGACTCTCATTTTTATAATTTCACCATTGGAAATTCCGACCTCATTTTTATAATTTCACCATTGGAAAATTCCTTCCGGCTCATAAGGAAGGAAATCCTCAACCAAACCTCATTGCTTCCATGAGGAATATCTCACTTAATTCACCCAAAACTGAGAAAGCAAAACAACAGATCCAGTATTAAAACACCACACCTGTATCCACCAGAACGATTCTTCTTGTCCTAATCTTTCCATGTTTCGTTCAAAGTTAAAATTTCATCATTATGTTCCACCTGGCCAGTCAAAAAAGTGCCTACAAGGATTTTTCATTGACTCAAAATTCAGATATTAAAGATCATACTTGACACAATTAAAAAAAATATGAGCAGATGATAAGACATTTTGAATACTCATTCTATAAGCTACCTAAGCTCAACTAAAATTAACTTAAAAGCTAAATGTACTGGAGTAACCCGAGTTCTTACCTGCCCAAACCCACTGCCAACACTGCCAACTTCAAAGCCCTTTGACGCAGGGAGTGACAAGAGAGCTTTAGCAAACTCGGCTTCAAGTTTGTCAAATACTGGCGAACCAAGCCCCTGCAGTACAATTACAGATTTTAATCCTGGTCAAATACTTGAAGAAAATTCTTACAGGATAAGGAAAAGTCATAAGTTTGAGAGATTAAGAAACTGTCAAATAACAATGCAACAATTGGTGACAATACACCTATGCACCCCCGAACAACAGATCATAAATGCCGGTGTATGCCACCCACAAAAACATAAATATAAATGCATCATCACTTGCACAACCACATGCAATGCCCCAGCAAACACACACGACAGGGAAAGATTGTTAAAGCTTACACATGGGGCATTCCTCACAATGCATGTGACCACTCCACCGATGGAATCCCCTTTTACTCGAATGGCATCAACAGCAGCAATCATCTTCTCTGCGTATTCAGGATCTGGACACCTGACAATGTTGCTTTCTATCTGTAAAAGATTTCATGTATGCATGGTCAGGAAAATAACCATTCATGATTGAATTTTGAAAGAGTCATTCAAAATAAAATGAAAATAAGTTCGGATAGAACTGAGAAGACATTTTGTCCGGAAACAAATTTTAAATGAATTAAAGACAAGAAATGCAACTAATAGCAAACAGTCCTCAATACTTGGAAAGTGAAATATACCCGCTAGGGAATGAAACAAGTAATATATATATAAACAAGTAATACATATATATATATATATATATATTAATATATATTATATATATATATATATATATATAGATCATTTACATATAATGAGAACAAAAGGTAATCAGAATAACAAACTTCATCAAGATTCTTGAAAGAAAAATAGGATAACAAACAATTCCAGAGAAAGAGAGAGAAGCTCCTGTAATTTCTGAAAGTCCAAAAATTTTATTCACACCAAAAGAAAAGGAAAAATAACAGCAATGAAATTACAGGACATCAAGCCATGACCGAATTTCTGTTGAAAAGTATCTGATGTCGAATGCTATCAGCCAGCCACATGGAACTAGGCTTGGCCACGGTTCCGGAACCGAACCGAAAAGGTCCGGTTCCGATTCTGGTTCCGGTTCCGGTTCCAGTTCCGATTCGGTTACAAAACCGACGGTTCCGATCGATTTTCGGCGAACCGCATAATTTTAAATTTTAAATTTTGAAGGCCGGTTTAAAAAAAAAATTATTTGAACATAAAAAATTAAAAAATACACCTAAAAAATTTTAAATTATTTTGAAGGACCGGTTTTAAAAAACAAAATATGAACATAAAAAACTAAAAAATACTTCAATTAAATTTATTTTTTTAAAACTTGAATTGTTGAGTGTTGAAACATAATTATTTTTTAAAAAAAAAAAAATTCAACTGAATTTTTTTTTTTTTTAAGTTTGAACATAAATTTTAAAAAAAAAATGGGCTTTGAACTTAATTTTTTTTTTTTAAAACGTATCCTCTTGGTGGTTTAGAGGAATCAAAGCCCATGTAGTCTCTACTTACCTTTACCAATTTTCACCCTTTATTTAATCGCATTTGCACACGGTTGATGTTCCCGTTGAGGACCCATCGTTTATAAATCAAAATAAAATCTTCATTTTCTTTTGGATTTTCCTTGGGCTCTTAGTATCGGCCTGTCCAATCATCCTGCATGCTTGTGCTTTCTATTGAATCGGAGGTTTGTCATACGAGATCGAAATTTCATCAAGTATGTTTTCCTCCTTACTAAAAAGAGCTTGTTTCAACCGCAACAGTTGGAGACCGGAGCTGCCTAAAAATTTGTTTTGCAAGTAAAGAAAGAATTGCGAAAAGTATTTGCGGTTGGATGACGTCCACCAATCTAAAATTAGAAAATCAGTATCTGCATAATCATCACCAAACTCAAAAGAAAGTTGTTAGATAAATTATCAAATTCAGAAATAGAACTGGATTCCTTATTCTTTTTGTCTTTGTAGTAAAACTTGTTGAGCAACCACCCAACACCACTTTACCCATTGTTGTGGAATTTGTAGTAATATACGTTCAGAGTAGATGAACTAGAAACTTGAACAAATTCATTATATAATTGCATAATATTTTGTTTAACTTCATGCATTACTACATTTATATTAACATTATCTTCTACTACATTTATATTAACATTATCTTCTACATCAAGATTCAATACTTCATAATAAATAGTCAAATAATCACATAAAACATCCATTCTACATCTAGGATCAAATATAATAGCAACAAGATAAAGGGGTGCTATATTTTTAAAATAAGATAACCATTTTTTTTTCATTGAAAAAATACAATCTTTTAATAAATCATCATTTTGAAATTCTTGGAGTGCATTAACAATATTAATACACAGGTAAAAATAAATGAGATGTGGGATAATAAACCCCACTAAATTTATAGGTAGCATCATTAAAAATTTTTAAAATATCTAAAATTTTTGTACAAAATTTTATATATAAAAATTAATTTCTTCAATATTGTTAGTAACAAAAGTGCACAATAATTCTTTATATGAAAAAGACTCGTTTAATAATTCATATGTTGAATTCCAATGTGAATTCCACGAGTTGGGAAATCCCTTGGGAAAATGTTTTGGTCATTTTATGATTCTTTACAAAATTTAGGCCCAAACTTTTTCATTCACTTAGGAATGTGTCCATAAATATGAAATAGCCTTTTTTTAATTGGAGAAATAAAAGATTCAAGAATTTTTTAAACCATCTTGTACACCATAAATTTAAAACATTTGGCATGCACATCTTATATGAAAAAATTTTCCACCAATATTTGGTCACAAATTTTTTTAAAGTTCAGATAATTGATCTAGTATTTGCAGAAGCATTATCAAACTGAAAAATTGAAAAAATTTTTTTTTGTCAACTTATATTCATCTAAAATTGAAAACAATTCCTCCCTTATAAATTTATTTGCAGTATCGTTTATTCATCAAAAAACACGAAAAAACCATAATCAATTCTTTTTTTGAATTTTCCAATCGTCATTCAATCCATGACATGTTAATACCCATATAAGAATGCATTGCCAATGATTCACTCCAACATCACAAGCAAAATTGAAACACGAATTATTCAATTGAGGGAAAATAAAAGCTCTAACTCTTTTTTCCTTTATTATATAAAAAAAATAATAGTTCTTTTTACAGATATTTTTTTGGTTTACTCTTTTTAGCAGAAGGATTTAAAAGCTTTCTTGGACAATAATATAAACCTACTTTTCACCCCAAACCTAAGATAAATGTTCCATAGAAATCAAATCATTTTTGCTAATTCTTCTTTTTATATTTTTTCAGAATATTTAAATAAAGAAAGGTTAGAAGCGTACCCGGAAATTTGTTGTTGAGACCGATCAACTACTATTTTTGTTGGATGTTTTGCCTCCAAATGCTTCCAAAATGATCCATAGCCGTCCGCTTATTTAAATTTATAAGATTTTCCACAATAATTGCAAATTATATCGTACATTTTCTCACCTTTGAATTTTCTTGTGAAATAAATGGAGAATATGTCGGAACTTTGTCTTACTCTTGTAACAATTTTTGCTCGTTGCTCTTGCTCTTGCTCTTCATCTTCTTGAAATTGCTCATTAATTCAGAATTCTTGAGGGTTGGATTATCCAAAATTTTCATTTGGATAACCCTCAAAATTAAAATTGGTCGGGGAATCATATCATAGATGTCGTTTGTAGCGAATAGATGATTCTCCAACCTTTCCCTTGCCCTTACCCGAATTTTGAGTTTCCTCCACTGCCATTATATCATAATTAAAATATAATTTGGAAAATTGAATTAAAAAAAATTAAGAGGATAATTTAATTAACTTAATAAGAGAAGTTGTAGAGTAGGGGAAGAATAAATGAATAATATAGAGTAGAGTAGAGTATAGTATATTGTAGAGAGAGTAAGTAGAGAGTTGGTAGTATATTGTAGAGAGAGTAGTAGAGTTGAGATTTTTTTTGATAATGAATTGTAAATAAATGATGGGTATTTATAATAAATCCAAAATTTCATTTTTCCAAAAATAACCTTGAAACTAGCCGTTTATGAAACTAGCCGTTTATGGCTGTTGGGAGGGGTAATTAAGACATTTCACAATAAATTAAAAAAAAAAAACACCAGGTCTGACAGTTACAACGGCTAGAACCATTCGAACCGGCGGTTCTAACCGGCAGTTCCAGTCCGGTTCAGACCGGTTCCCTAGAACTGCCGGTTCTGGTTCCTTATTTGCTGGAACCGGAACCGAACAGGATTTTTCCGGTTCCGGTTCCGGTTCGGTTCGTCCAGGTTACGGTTCCGGGCCGGTACCGACGATTCCGGCCGGAACCGTAATATGGCCATGCTTACATGGAACATTATCAAGATTTGGTTGCCTGTGTAGTATTATTGGCTTCAGGCATATATTTGAACAAACGTGTGCAATATATACATTTTTAATCCAACAAAAAACCAACAGCACAAGCATTTTTTATTTGAATCATCAATTATATCAATAGATCAACTCTTTGAACTCAAAGACAGTTTCTAAGCCGCTTTGCTGCCCACTTATTACTATTCTCATGACATTTTCCAGGTAGAATGATTATATCAGGTCCTGCTAAGAGTACTTTAACCACAAGTTACTCAAAGATCATACTAGGAAGGGTCCCCAGAAAGGGGGAACTTCAATTTCTAGATTTAAATTTCTAGATTTAGATAACCTTGCTGTCAATCTAGATTTAGATAATATTATATTGTAAAGCTTAATTAAAGGATACGTTAATAAACTTAGTCTGTGTTTAGTTAGATTTAATGTAATGTAACGTAAGTAAAGATGTGATATGTAATGGAATGTAATTAATATTTCACTACTTAGTTTGGTCATACAATTGAATTAAATTATGAAATATTATCATCATTCATTTTTATATTTTTATATTAGTTTGTAAATATATAATATAATTAGTACACCGCAATTACCATCACAACCATCAACCCACGACCATCGTTGTCGCCATCGCCGCCTCCACCACCATTCTATGCTATTCTTTTATTTTGTCATAGAAATGGGTAGAATGAAATGAAAAATCACTAAAGAATATCAAAATACCATTAATTTTATATTGCAATTTAATTTATTCAGTAAAAATATACGAATTTATGTGAATTTAATTTATTCAGTAAAAATATACGAATTTATGTGTAAAAAAGTTTGTTTCCAATAACTTTAACTTTTATTTTATCACACATCACTTTTTTTTTGCTTATTTTCTTTTAAATTTTTTTTTGTCCAAATAAATTTATAAATCTAAATGATTTTTAATAGTTTGATATAATAATAGTTTTTGGTTTAAATATTCTTTTTTATTAATAATTATGTGTTGGTGGTGGTGGATGACGTAGCAAATGCTAGATTTTAAGATTGAATTTGGTTAGGGTTTGACTTTTTGAGAGATTGTAATGGAATAATAATTATATAGATTTTTAGATTGAAATAACTATTACATTATTTTAAATAATGATAATACAATTATAACACTCATCACTTTACGGAGTAAGAAAAAATCCATTAAAATATTGCAATATCGCAATTAACTATGTAATGTAATTTTCATTTCACTACGTTGATTATATTGAATGTCGCCATAGGTTTGATTTAGTTACAAATATAATTCTTCCAAGTTATAATTAATAAAATTTAAAATTGGACTCAAATTGAAAAATAAAGAAGCAACTAATATTTTAATTAAATTTCTGTTATCAATTTTGGAAATGATATCTTAAATTATAGCTTCTAGTTTGTTTTTATTTTTCTCATTTTGTGTTTACATCTTTTTGGTTACGTGGAATTAAGAGAAAAGAATTCAGCTTAGTTTATTCGACGAAGATTTAGTTGTATGCTAAACCTTTGTCAATTATCATGCTTTGAGCTTTGAAAATTCAAAATATATATCTATATTAATTTTATGGTTTTAGCTCATACATACAACAACAAATATAGAAATAAAAGCCTACGAATAGTGGCTCAATTGGTAATACAGGCTGGGTATGTATGAAGAATTTTTTGATTTCACTAAACACACTCACAGGAAAAAGCCATGAACTTTAACTGCGACTATGCTCCAAATTGGATTAGACGGTCCCCGGTAATAGATCCGGAGTTTACACCAAAACAAATATAGAAATAAAAGTTAATATGAGCAGTGTATAGTTAAGATCACTCGATGAATAATTTAGTCTGAATTTGTAAAATTGAACCGCAGACAACACAAATATAGCTATAAAATAAAGATGAAAAATATAATTGTATAATTGGCACAACTTCATTATAGAGGTGAAAAATATCTAAAATAGGTATGGCCACCGGTTCGGTTCTAACCGGAATCAAACCAGAACCAAACCGTACTATAGACCAACTGAAACTGGACCGGAATCGGCGGTTTAAGAGTCGGTTAAGGTTCATGTGAATCTTAAAATATGAATCGGAACCGGCGGTTCCGGTCCAGTTCAAACCGGATGCACAAAACAATTATTGCTTAAAATTTTTATAAAAAAATTTATATTACTTGATT